TGTGTGTGTGTGTGTGTGTGTGTGTGTGCGCGCAGATGGAAGAACAGATTATACATTTAAATCAAATATTTGCTCAATGTGCCAGACACTGTGCGTCATATACCTTTTCTTATATAATGTATCTTGTGTGTGCATATTGATGCAGTAAATTTGTATTTAATTTCATCAACATAAACATATTAATAACTATTCATACAATGCATCAAAAGGTACGTACACACTGCATTTTATCGCCTCTATGTAAGAGAGGGACAACAACTGACAATTGTTGTTCATATGTATAGAGTAGCTGTTATCCACACCCCATTCTTTCCATGGTTTACACCCACTCTTTCTTTTTCAGTATGAAAAGAAAATCACCCTGTCCTGCCATGCAAATAAGCATCGCTGCGCCAATTTCAGTTCCAGGTCTTTGTTACTATAGCAACAACAACAGAAAGCACTACAAAGCTGTGCAGAGAACAAGTTTTTCTCCTCTTCTTTCATCCCATCGTGCCTCAGATCATTACAGGGCATTAGCATAGAGATGGAGAGATGCACTACAGAGAGGGGAAAAGATGGAGGGAGCTCATTTGAAAACAGCTTGCCTGCTTTTGCAACAATGACCTCCAAATCACGATTTACAAACATCAGAAAAAAAACCTGAACGGTTAAAGTAGGGAAAAAGGAAAACAACTTAATTTCTACATTACAGTGTTTCTCTCTCACTGAAGAGGCTGTCAGATTTTTTTCCCCCACACTGTCCTCTATACCAATTCCTCCTCCTCCTCCTTCCTGCCACTTGGCGCCCGGCTGACTTTATCAAAACATGTGCCTGCTAAGGTGTGGAGCAAGGCTGAAGAAACTCTCTGCAGCAACTTCTCCTCAGTTTGATCGTTTCCAGCGTGGAGTGGCAGAAGCAGCCTCTACTGTAGGCAGCTTGAGGGAAAGTGCGCTCATCTTTATGAGTGGCTACTGGCTGTCACAGCGCCTATCCATACCAGTGCGCACACTCACCACACTCTCTGTCAGGGTGTGCAGAACTTACAGCAACTCTTGCACTCTCTCACTAATTCTCTTCATCTTTATAGTTAGATTTTACTCCTATATCCTCATGCTTTCTCACATCACACCATCAAGCTTATTTACTAAGTGTGTGTCTGTCATTGCTTGTCTCTCCATGTAAACCCACATGCTTGAATGCGATAGAACCCCTCTACTCTTAAAGGTGTAGGAATTATCAATATGTTCTTTCATGTTATTTCATGTGTGTGGGTCTTTGAAGTGGTCTTATCTTTCTCAGCATTCCTGTCTCATGACAGGAGGGATGGAGGGAAGCAGGGGTAGTGGTCCAGAGAGAGGAAACTAGAGGTATAGCTGAGTAGAGGCTACACAGCCTGCAACCTTAGTAAGTGCTGAGGTGCAGGAGCAGGTGGATGTATGGATCCTGAATATCGAAAAGCTTCAGCGGGGTTCAATATTAACTCCCGTGGCAACATGCTCGGTAAGGAGAGGATGGAGATGGGTTAATCGCCAATTAAATCCCACAGACCTGACAAATGGAAAATAGTAAAAAGCTCTTAAACTGGGTCCTCTTGGAGTTAACAGACTTTACAGTCTCAGATACTCTGATTTCCAGAGATTATACTAACACAAGATACGTTTTTATTTTGTTTATTACATTTATTTAAATTCTAGCCCAAAGACAAAGCAAGAATCTAAAAAATTAACAAGAAAAGTCATTTGTTTTAGTTTGTATTATTGCAGTTGAGTCTAATTCTGTGAAGTGAGTCTACCTAGTTTTTCTTTTGTTAAATATTGAATTATATTGATAGATAATGAAGCAGATAATGAGTTTGTGCCCTGAAAAAAAACAGTAGTCTTGACATTTAGTTGTTCAGATATAATTTGTCATATCTGATTGTTTCAGTTTCTATTACTCAAAATTAGTCTCATTTGATATTCTGACATTTTCATATCATGCTGTAATGATGTTAAATGTCTCGCTGTACCAACATGATTGTCACACATAACTAAATTTGACATTTCCACAGTAAGCTAGCTTACTTACAAACATCAGCATCAGTATGAATTTATCCCAGAGCCGGCTGCATCACTCTGAAACAGCTCAATCCGGATAGATTGTCTGTAGGGCTTTCACTGTTTAATTAAAAACCTTCCAGCTTATTTTTCCATTGTGTAATATTGCATAATGTTTTGGATATGTAAATACAGTATGTTTACTTAAGGGACGCCTAGTTGATTTAGCATATTATGCTGTAGTCTGCATAATTCATAAAGCCAAATAGCATTTAAATGCACAGCAAAGGCAAGAAAACCCCAGCTTGTGATGTGATGAGTGAGATCTATTCTCTACTATAAAAAATATAACTCACTCTGGCTCAAGACTGATGACGCTTAAGTTGTGTTTATAAAAAGAGGAGATACCATCACGTTTCACTGTGCCTGAATTATACTGAAGCAGTTGTGTAGGAATATGAAATTAATCATTAATTTTTCTGGGGTGAAACTAACTGAACTGCAGAGCAGCAAGTATGAGAGACAGTGTGTGTGTCTCTTTTTGTTCTGTCTCACCCACATGTTTATCCACCCACATAGTGGTACTGTCAGCCCGGACTGCACCAGATTCCTCCTCATCCTTCCCTCTCCTTAGGGTGTTTAGTTGGCTTTGAGGTAGGACACTAACAAGTGTGAGGGAAAATCACAGTTTCCATCCCCGCTGTTGACTGGAGTGTGTACGTTTCATAAAGATTTATTGAAATGTCATCTGTCACATTTACAAATACTTGAGCAAGGCACTAAGCCCTCTGCAGCGTTACAAGTTGAAGTCCCAAAAGAAAAAGTATAAATACTAAAAAAAGTAAGACAAATCACAGGGATGATTGTAAAGACACAATCCACAATCATGAAGTGCTAATTTACTTTTAAAGAAGCTGGTGGCAATAGCTGAGGAAGAAACAATTCCCTGCAAGTGCCCAGATGACTGTTGTGTACTGATGCTGCATTCGGTGATGATAATAATGAAGCCTCGTTCTCTGTTTGTGGCGGTGTTGCTTCATATCTTGTTGTGAAATGCTGTTTTATAAACAGACCACATTTGTAGGCAATTTTAAAGCCATCAAACTCAGTGATTCTGTTTTCTCCTCTTCTCTTTTCAACTCCTCCTCTCTCTGTCTTTAATATTTTCTTGCCCTTGTGCTGTCTCTCTTTTGTGTTCACGTATTTGTGGTCTGTCTCTTATTCTGTGTCTGTTTCTGTCTTCCCCCCCCCCTCTCTCCCTTTCTCTGGGGATGCGGATGAAAACCAAGCCCATTTTATTTTTTTCTTCAGAGGGCGCTGAATATTTCAGTTTTGCATTTTCTCTCTTTTTATGTGCTCCCTCTTTTTTCCAGGCCCCTTTGATGTGTCTGTGGATTCGTTATCATTCCGTTTGGATGAGCTCACAGACACAGATGCGCGGGCACTCGCATGCACTTGCGCACACACCACATGTACACACACTCTCACTCTGTCTTTTTATACTAGGGACCAGAGGCGTACAGAGGCAAGCGTGTATTCTAGTGTGTTTGTCAGTCTTTTCCATGCGCTGCTCCACCCACATCGCTGCCCATACAATTCTTAAATACTCTGCTTACATGAAAAGAATATTTGCATAAGCAATTAAGAATTGTTTCTGAATGCATTGACTTTAATGTGCATTAACTGTGTGTGAATGTTTATATATATATATATATTCAGTATGTGGCACGCACTTCGCACACAGGCAGCACGTGGAATTGTGGTCAGGGTAGTCCGGAAAACGTCGGCATCCCTGCACCCCTCCTGTCTGCCAGGGCGGCTGGATGGCGGAAGCTCCCTCACCCTCTCTAGCACAAAATCTCCTCTCTCCTTTCCTCCCTCTCTTCCTCCCCTTTAAACAACTGTTTAGCATTGAGGGATGAGAGGACTTCCTCTTTAGAGAAGGCACATCTTTAATTTGAACCTCCTCTCCTTCCACTTTTCTGACCAGAGATCCATTTAAAGCCAACCGGCCGCCCTGACGCTGGCAACCCTCTCCTTCCTTTCCCTCTCTGTTTCTCCCTGCCAGGCCTCCCTGACTCCTTTTCTCTGTCCTCTCATCTCGCCCTCATCGCTCTGTTATTGATGGTGACACACTGTCTACCGCTGTAGTGACCACACACACTCAGAAACACACAGACAGAATTATTCTCCCAGGAATCACTGAAGTTGCCATGTGTTTACCTGCTGTCCTCAGTTTTAGAGCATAATATGTTTCAGTCTGTCACATACGTGAAGTTAGCTGCACTGAATTTTTCAGTGTATCCTCAGAGGTATAGGCCCAGCAGCCACCTCCAACTTAGTCATAGTGCATTCCTTGAGTGGAGTTGTCAGTCACACACAGAGTTTTGCGGCTGTGGCTCATGAACAAAGGGCCGTATGCTCGCACGTGCGTACACCCATACACACACGTTCTGTCGTCTCTCAAGCACAACACGCACCTACTTCATTTCTTCTCTGCCTTGGAAGTTTCAAAAACGTGCTATTTCTGTGACATCCTCTTTTCCATCTTCCTCTCGCTCTCTGTCTTTAACCATCTTAACCTCTCCACATACCCTTTGTGTCTGTCTGAGCCTGGAAGGCAGTAATGCAACCAGACTGATTAATAATTACAGAGTACACAAAATTGGGAGAGGGAGAAAAAAACAATTTCTTTGTCGTTTGATGTCCAACATGAGAGAGACCAAAATTACAAAGAGACAGAACACTATAAAGAGGAGAGAAAGCTTGTACATTCCTCTTTCAATCCTCAGCTTCTGTTCTTTGCTTTTTTTATTGCCTCCTTTTGCTGTTTTTTTCATCTCATCTGTCTCTCTGTTTGTTTCATTCTGTCCTGATAAACACTTAAAGTTGCTGCTTTGACTATTAATCATTCAACAAAAATGTGAACTTTGAATGTGTGTGTGCAGTTTTCTTTAGAGGTGTGTGTTTCTGCAAGTGTATGTGCACACACAGTTGCATGTTCATAGTGCTTTACCATCTACACACACACTTGGTAGCTTGGCTTTGTGAAATACAAATAAATGTCAAGTACCCATTGAGTACCTGCTGTAATTTAGTAGTAGCTGTACTTTTTTTTAAATTTTTTTAAATCTCACTTATTGAACACAAATACACATCTAATTCCATACATTGTTGGTGTATAATTTACAGGAGCAGGGGAAAAGACAAAATGACACACAAACACACAGCATTGTGTACCGCACACTGTAAAATCTAAACTATAAAACCATGCACAGCCAGTCATTCTCTCTGCAGCATTGTTATCCTTGTTCATTATTTAGCAGATGGGTATTGAATGGTTTCAATAGCTGCTGTTGTAAACTTAAAGCTATGCAGCAGTGGTGTCTTTGCTGACTAGAAAAGAGCTGCATATTGTTTTTGAAGTTTAGAGTTCAACTAATGTGAAAGTGTCATCATTTCCATGTTTTCACCATCCTTAAAATTCTTACCATGTAGCTTAAACGGATCGCAGGGGCAGGGGTGCCACAGTTCATCATGTTCACTTTATTTGAAAGGATTTTTTTCTCCCTGTTTTGTTTATACTTTGCCTAAAAAACATGCATTTTAATCTATCAACCCCAGTTGTAGTAGTTCCCAGTGAGACATTTTAATACATTAGTAGTATAAAGATATTCATTGTATTTGAGTAAACATTTTTTAGATGATTAGAATTGAATGTGGTATAGTGTTTGCATATTTACCCAGACCACAGTAATGTTCTATGTGATGGTGTACATATATAAGATATGGATTATTTGGTAAGTAAGTAAGAATTACAGACTCGTATACAGTAAACAGTATTATCAATTTTTTGCCGAAGATCTTGGCTGCACTTTCCCGTCAGGAATGGTCATGTTATGGGTTTAGGATTTCTCTGAACTTGTTACACTCTAAATCCAATATGACACACACTTGGAGCAGATAAAATGTCAGTTGTAAGCACATGCCAACATGATTATTTGCATGTGTGTCCAGATCATAAACAAATCATGTGTTTAATTTTACTCTACCGATCCACCATGCTAATACACACTTCTGTCCCCACACACCCAGGTTGGGTTAAGCTTGACTGCTGCATGCTGTTGCTGTATGCAATGTTACGGTTTGGCCCTCCTGGCTCGGCTCTGACAGCCCTCAGTATGAGGCTACCCCATTCAGTATGTCTGTCAATCCTCTCTGCTCGCAACTCTGTGACCTGACATATGCCAGCAATACCAGCAGCACACCTGCATGGAAGACACACAGAGTCGAGTGTGTGGAATAAGTTGATAGTTACTGTACAGATGCTAAAACTGACTTTCCTACATTCTCTATACTATATAATAGAACAAAAGTGACAATATAATAAATGGTCCTTTAAAATCTGCGAAGATTTCATTCAACATGTAGAGATTTTGTTGTGAGAAGAGTCCCTGGATAAATAACTCATTCCATACATGCAAAAAAGAGTAGGCCGATACTTTTTCTTTTCAACATTTATATTTCTACATCCATCTTTTATTTTCATCTCTTCCTTTTCTCCCTTCTTGAAATCACTTTATAACTACTGTTTTGAAAAGTTCTATAAAAGTTCCTTTCTTGAATTATTTCTGGAATCCTGGTCTGCAATTGTGTTTCTATGGCTTCGTTCGTATATTCATCTCTGTGCGTGTGTGCTTGGTTTGAAGGGAGATGGAGAGCCAGTTGAACCGAGCCAGGGAGAGCCAAAGGCAGCAGATCCAGCAGGCGGACTCGGCACTGGAGCAGTTGAAGAAACAGGTGGAGCTCAGCTCTGAGAAGGCCTACACTGACATGAAGCTCCAGGTCTGATGACACGTACAACACACGCATATGCATACGCACATGTATGTTGAGAAAGGCATAAAAAGCACGTACACATTGAATGCGCTGTGCAAGTTAGTTAACGCTAAGCTGTATCCACGCCCACCTGATTTCTGTTATGTGAATACATTCCTTACATCCAGTCAGTCTCTCATGTTCGTGCACATACTGCACATCAGTCTGGTGTATTTTCTCTGTTTTCTGTTAGGTGCCAAATATAACTGCATTTGCTCAGACACACATTTTTAACCTCACCCCCTTTCATGTTTACTTTGCTCCTAACAGAGTGAGCTGTTTGACAGGCACTAACCAAGACAATACAGGCACACATACACATACGCATATGTGCACATTTTGCAATTGCAGAGACACAGCCCGACCACAGATGCAATAGGGCGCCACACTGGCTGTGCTTGAATTCCTTCCTATGTCCTCCTCCTTTCTCCGTCACGCTCTTTCTCCTTCATTGCTGCTGTCTAAGGAGTCCTACATCCAATCATGGGTCTTTTTCTGGACCTTTTAACTGCTCCTATAGTGAAAAATCTATATGGAAGAGCCAAGAACATAATCATCCCCAGGCCATTATCACTCATTTAGTCATTCCAAACCATTGAAATGATTCATAATCCTGCTCATTACTTGGGTGCATTCATTTCTCCGCTATCACAATATGACCTTACTTCCTTTTCGGTGGGCATTCGATGTATTACAGGTCACACGCTTTAAGCAGCCAGACTAATTAGTACACCAGGCCAGCCTCATGATGAGTGCACCACACCGTGTGGGCTGCTGCTTTTTTGGATAGTTCTCCGATCAATATGGACTCAGCTGTAAACTTCTGATGTTGTCTTACAAGTCAGTTTGGCTATGGGCGTTTTTCTTAAGCATTTTATGGCTATACTGTGTGTGTGTGTGTGTGTGTGTGTGTGTGTGTGTGTGTGTGTGTGTGTGTGTGTGTGTTGTATTGACAAGGCAGCGTGTGGTCCTAAATGTTTTACAGCGATGTATGTTGAAGTCACTAATTAGAGAAGTTTTTTTCAGCTAATCATTAGTTATTTTCTGTTACTGTGGAAAAAATACTGCATTCAAGGTTGTTTATGCTTGAACTCCCAAACAAAAGTACATAGCTAATAAGTGGCCTACAAATATTGCACTTTTTGAGTATTGTTACAACTGACGTGGAAGCAGCAAGAGGAGCACAACGCAACAAAATAATAAATATTGTGTCATTTATTTGCAGTAAGGAAAAGGGCAACATAAAGAAAGTAGAAGGGAACCGGAGAGAACATAGCTCTGCCAAGGCTGATTGGCCACTTTATCACCATGTTGCATATACCTTTATCAAGATAAGATACATCCAGATCTGCAATTTCTTTCATAAAGATCCCTGTATTATATTCAGAAAAAAGTTATTTTTAAAAGCCTAACAACTGGCAATGTTAAAAAAGTAGAAATTAAACCCTTGAATCCCCCTCCTTAATCTGTTCTACTCCAAACGTCAGAGGTTTCCTCCTTAGCCAATACCCCACTCTTCCACCAAGTTACACTAAAATCGTTTTCAGTGATCCCGCTAACTGCTAACTTGGTTGAAGTAACAAAACAAAAAGCTGGGTCTTTTGATGGGAGTCAGAGAGAGAGAAAGCAGGTGCCCTAATGCAGGTGCATTAGTGAGCACCTAGAGCAGGAACACATAGAAGAAATAAACAAAACAGAAGCAGAACACAGAGCAACACGTAACAGCATTCATAGGATGCTCTCTTTGCCTTGTAGCCACTGTACCATGAATACATTGCACTGGCCGACTGACAACAGGCAGGGCTCCTTCTTTCAAACTTGGGCACCAAGTAATATATATTCTTTTTCAATGCTTGGAAAATATCTGGATTGCTCTATTTTTCCTCTTCCTTCTCCCACTCCTCTCTCTTGTTCTTATCCTCCCATCCTCTTGCTCACTCCTTCTTTCCCCATTGAGCCCCTGGCATCCCAATCTCCAATCTGACTTTATTCTCAGCCCACATCAAAGCCACTGGAGAGGGGAGCAGTCTCTTCTGCATCCCTGTCATCCTCTCTGCCTCTTTCCCTCTCCTCTACTCCTCTCCAGCACACTTGTGCATTGCTCCATCACGTTATCCTGCTAAGGCTTTTATGTTACAGAAAGTACTTCAAAAGAAGCTTTTACCATCTTTTTTTCATCCTTCCATCTTTCCTCTCATCATCTCCCTCCCTCTGTCTTCAGATGGTGTTATATCTAAATGGATTATCTGTATCACTCCCTTCTTCTGTCTGTCTTTCCCTCATTTTAAAATCAGCATCCCACTTTTAGACTACACTTAAAGGAAAGAGTTTGCCCTATTTTGGTGAGGGGAAAAAAACAAGCACAACCATAAGGAATCAAATCTCTGTTGCATGCACAGTTCAAAGCAGGCTTCGGCATTTTAAATGGATTAATCAGAACACATTTAGCATTTCCTGAGTGTTACACACAGCCCAGATGCAGAGGCGTTTCAGTAAATTACCTCTCCAATTGTAGTCGATTATCATCACCTGAAAACAAAATGTCAAAATGGTTGGCTGCAAGAAGTGTGAGTTAAGATAAAGTGTTGAAATAATGTTAAATCCATTTTCCCCACAAAAAACAAGTCCACAATGAGCCAGAAGCTTGTGACTTTGTTATTTCTAACTCTGCCTCTTTTAAGTCTGTCTTTACATTGCAGTTGTCTTCTTGCAATTGTAAATATGTGAACTATTGTGAACTACTGGTATTACATATTTAATGCTGAATTTAATATTAAACTGATGTATAGATTAATATATTGATGTGCCGTTACTACGATACCATTACCATAAGATCACACGGGAAAGTGTTGACTTTGTTTTTTTCCAGTAGCAGTTCATTCATTTCAATAGAAAGGCATTATTTTACAGGTTCTGCATGCTTTAAACTTATTGTAGAACTAATATTAAAAAATAGCAAAAAGAAGAAAAAAGAATCAGAAATGCAAAACTGTCTATGCACGCTTCTAGAAATGAGAATTTGAGTAGATTTGAAGCTGTATTCCAGCCCGTGAGCCCATCCATAATGTTTTAAACTCTTAATACTGTATGTATTTGAGTATTGATTTCGGTTTCAGACTAGAGCTTGGTGATATGACCAAAAATTATGTAAAAATGAAACTTTTCACATGAGTCAATATCGATAATTATCACGATATGGTCATATAAGATTGGAAACAGATTTTCGCTGCCGAGTGAAGGTTGGGTTTTTTAAATTTCTTCTTTATGAGCAGAGAATAGAAAACACTTGATAAACGTCCAACCATATTACAAATATGTTTTTTTAAGTCGTCACTGTGCTTTCATGATGGATATGCATTACATCAATCTTTATATTGGACTTTTGTTTTGTTGCTATTGATGAAAATTACATTGTGATAATTATTGGTACAATTTTATTGCCCGGCCCTATTTTAATCACTCATAATAATACTTGAATACTAAATTACTTTTTCTTCCTCCATGCCTCCAGATGGAGAAGGTTGAGGAGGACCTGATCCGCTCCAAGTCCCTCAGGGAGAACATGGCCAAAGACTTCTCCCAACAACTAAATTCCCTCAGAGAGAAATATGAGCAGCAGGTCTGTATGTAGTCTTCTGTGTTGCTGCTGTATCCAGAGGGAAGGGTTCTCCTCTTGCTTCCACCATCACCATCACATTGTTATCTTTTCTACATTATCAGTGAACACTTGGCCCGATGGAACCAAGGGGACTGACATCCATTTGGAATTGTCATGTTATTCCTCCCCATCTGTTCTGCCTGATTTATTTCTCATGATAAGGGACACGCTTTAGATTAAGCTTAAATTGCGGCTCAATAAATATCTTAAATATTGCCAATTGAAAACTAATGCAATCTGCATAGCAGATGCACCGTCGCCTTATCATCTCATCTCCATCCCTCTCCTTCGATTATGAGTCTAGTAACCATTTTTACAACTCATTGAAATCTAGCCTGCTGATAGGAGGACCTCTCTTATAGAACATCAGATTCAATTAAACCATGGAAATGGATGTTATCAAAGACAGCCAGTGTCATTGTAGGAAACATGGAGCATAGTTTATATTTCACTTTTAGCTCATTTGCCTACAAGACGGATTTTTAGCTGCTTACAGTGCAAAATTCATATTATAATTGAATGACATACAAAATATAATTTAAAACAACTCCACCGACTTATTGATATATATGATTAATAATTGTACGCATAACTCCGGACAAAATTAACAGGATTTTCAAATTAGGAAAAATCATGAAGCTTAACATAGTAAATAATTGCACAATGTGAGTATGAAGTCGTATATACCTGGATACCTATTAAATAAATGATACATTATCCTTAAATTCTTCCTTTAAATGATGTAAAACAATGTGTGTGTCCCCATGTGATACAGTATGATCACGTGACAGAAGCTTCTGAGACTGTACAGTATCTGATCTGTCATCTCTATTTTCCATTTATATCCACATGATTGATTTCTAAGTAGCAAACTAGCGCTCAGCCTGTCAGTTAATAAGCATGCTAGCACTCATTTCCAGGCCAGATGGAGTTAACGCTGCATGTAATTTGCTGTAGATTGGTTGTAAGTGGAGGATACAAGGCTGGACATACTTTAAAAAAACACTGCGAAAACAGTTATCTGTTTTTTGTATTTGCTCCATGGTCAAACAGCTGGGTTTGTAACGATGACATTTGTGGCCAGTAAAAAAAACATTTTAATTGGATGTATAATTGTTTGCATTTTATTTAAATCTTTTTAAAATACACTATAGCGAATAAGTCGTCCGACCCTCTGGCCCCATTGTCATTGATCAGCTAGAGGGGCACAGACGGCTCCACATGCAACTTCAAATTTTGCTCCTTCTAATGAGTCTGACTCATTCTTCTTTCTGTACAGCCCCATGCATTTTAAGATCTTTTTTAGTATACGTGTGCATACTTTTGCTGGCTATCAAGAGCACCATAGAAATTGTAAACCAAAAAAAAAATGTTGGATAGCGTCATTCATCACTGATTCGCCCAAGAATTGGCATGTTATGACTAAAATTACTTTGAGGCTTTTGTTTAAGTTTCTTGACCCCTTTGGTGTTGAGCAAAAATGAATATGTTATAAAACCCAGCTTGGTGGCAGCTCAGATAGGGTAGATTAATTCTATCCATGGAGCAGTCTGCGCCCTTCTGGGTGATCACCTCTCTCACTGTGAGCATATTTATCACAGAATCATCCACCTTGCTCAATAACAGCAGAATCTCTCCATGTCTTAAGTCAAAAGTAGAACTTATTAAGATCATGTAAATGGGCCAAATTCACCAATTTATCTTTTTTCCATACTCATTTCATCACTCAGACATTAGTTTCAGCTTATAACAATATCGGAATTTGTCACATAATAACTGGACTAGTGCTTTGCCCTTTTCTAAACATGCCTGTTTGTTTGGTTGTTTGCTTGCTGTAACCAGGTTGCAGATTTATTTCTGAATTGAGAGCTGTTCCCCTGCTTGTTCAAACTATGATGAAGCTTGCCTCAGTCAGCAGAACCATGAACTTTGAGAATCAGTTGTCGTTGTTGTCTTGAATGTGCTGTTGTCAACTACAATGACATTTATTCAAAGTGCATTTATATTAATTCAAGTGTGAAACCGTTCAAATGAAACGTTTTTGAGAAATGTGAGCCACATACAGACGGCCAGAGATTTCTGGAATTAGTTGATGAATAGTGTTTTGTTAAAACATGAAATGTTTTGCCAAAAAATCTTAAAACATAAAAATATCTTGATATAACATTACATTTTTTTTCTGCTATACGCTTCTCTGCAATTTATTGTTCTGAGGAGTCGCATGTTTTTTCTTTCATGTGAAAAACAGATCAGCAATCAGCTTCACAGAAAATAATCAAATGACGATTATCATCAGCTACGCAGAGTGGGGGTGTAGTTGACAGTTGAAGACAGCTACACAGGGTTAGCAGCACATCAGGAAGCTTTGGTCTTTACGATATAAACTATATCTAAAGACAAAGAGCCTGTCTTTGTGATGGTGCTGATGTGACATCAGCTGCACAGTTAGAAGGGTAGACAAAGAGAATAAATGTGTCTGCGTACACATATAAAGATGTGAGATTGTTCGTAAGTTACTGGGAGAACAGTTGTTTTACGCTGTGTGCACATTCTATGTACTTTGTTGTTGCACACACAAGCATAATCTCCTTTGTGTGGATCCGTTCTTCCTTGTCCACATGATGTATGCATTACGCCTCCACTCCTTCAAAGAGAGATCGGTGTCACAAGATTGTAATGGTCAAGTTTGTCCATTAAGATGCTCACAAGAGAGCATCCCCCTCAAGGGCAGCTTCAGTGAGACTTCAAACAGCGAGCCATGTATGAAGGAGTTGTTTTCCAGCTGACATCATGGTGACCTGACAGAGCTCTGCTTCTTGACGTTGGAGTGACGTAGTGAGGTTTAATGGCTGCTGTGTAGCCATGACCTTGAGAGTTGCTAGAATGCTCAACAGCTGCATACTTCAACTATTTGATTGGGATAATAAACAGTAAAGTAGTCACAGCCAAATGCGCACTCATATCCATACTCGGCCCCACTCACTGGCCATCTTCCGTTCAAACCCTACAGTGAGGAAAAAGAGGTTTGCCCCCCCCACACAAAAAACTCACCCAGCCTCCCCTGCTGAGACCAGACAAGCCTTCTGTTCTGCTCTCCTCTACACCCTCCTTATCCCTCCTCCTTCCCAAACATTTCAGATATCCCCCCTGTGGTTGAAAAAAGCCCATTACCTCACTGTCCTGTCTCAATACGTACAATGCATATACACACAACCATGTCAGCCTAGGCTGACAGGAGTCGTGCTGTGCAGTAACACCCGACCCACTCTGTATCTGTGGCACCAAGCTGTGCTTTAACCGCCTTCCCTCATCAGTGCCACGCCGGTCCCTTTAAGAACCGCAGCACCCAGCATCCTCCACTGCATGCTAGCGCTGAGTGATGTCACAACCAGGCTCCTCGCTGGGTCTGCTTACTGTCATCTCCTCTGCGCCTTTTCCTTATGATGTTTTTCTCACAATGGATCTATCTTGTCCATTTCTTCGTCCTCGTTTTACCTCAGATCCCCTCTTGCCTCCAAAATCCCCTTGGCCTAAGACACTTAACAGGAGCGAACTGTCAGCTAGGACATCCTCAAACTATTTCTGTTACCGCATGTCCTGCTGTCCTGCTGGGGAGTTCTCGAAGCAATTGCCTGCTTATCAATCAACTGTGATTTATGTGAATGATTCTGACTATCCATATGGGACGACATACTCTGGCTGTGGATCTGATTTGTATTTATTATGTCCTTGAATGGAGAAAGCGGTGCGTCTTTCTTTTTTTTAGTGGAATGTTCCGTAGCCGACATCAGCATTGCCAGTATCGTCATGTGGAGGATGTTGCCCACATTTTGCATAGTATTTGTTGCATGTAGCTTTGTGGTGTTCTATTGTGTACTTAAAAAAGGTGTCTTCAGGCGGTGCTTTATGTGTGTGTGGGTTTGTGTATTTGTCTGCCATGCCACTAACTGAGCCGCAGAGATAAAATACATTTTTATCCAGCTATAAATCCTCCAATTGGCCTTTTTTTTAAGAGGACATTAAACAAAGCTTTCCAAAAAGCCGAAGGGTAAATTCTTGGCTGCCAAAATGAAGTGTCTATTGTGGCCCAGCTCTCAGTGCTGGAGACAGAATCTGGCTTCCTGTAGATAGCCCCTCATTCATCACCTGCTCTGAATAGCATGCAATGTCCGAAGATATGACCGTGGATAGAACAAGCACAGGACATAGAAGCTGTGGATCTCCACCTCTCTGGCAGGCCAGGTAGGGTGCCGTCAAGCACAATGTGCAAGGGATTAGCTTCAAAGCAGGGAGGCGAATGGGCCCCAGGCCCCTGCTGTCCTTTCAAGGCTCCGGCTGGGGCTGCACGGCGGGATGGTGTGGGGGTCACTGGTTCCCCCGCCATGGGGGAGTGGGAAAGGAACGGAGCCTGGGAAAGGCTTGGAGGTTTGGGGCTGGGAGCTCCGCTGGCAATGCTCACCTCTCAGCAGGTGACTCCACTCACAGTTACACTTGCAAACAGACTTGCCTCAGCTGACAGGATGAATAAGCCCTGAAAAATTTGGGCTTTGAGTCCCATTAGAAGTGTTTCATTTTGCTGTACTGTACTGTGTGTAGTTGTAGTACTCTGGTGAGACTGAAGTCTACTGTGTGTCTATAGAGAGCCTTCTTATTGATTGGGGCATACCGGTCCTTTGCTATATTCTGACTTAGTCTTTCTGCTGCATAAACTAGAATGGTATCATCCCTTGAGCATAATCCCATTAATTCGAAAAAACATTTAGACTGATATTAGTAATGTAAAAGTTAAAACTTCCCTCCCTATCCATTTTTTTCTTCTCTTTTTTTATTTGATTCAGGGTCTATAATGAACATCATAGTCATTGCCTAAGCCGATTTTCGCATGCTGTCAGGCGCCTAGCATGGGGCATCGGGTAGTTACTGCAGCCAGATGGCTAACCCCTGCCAGCTTGCATGCATAGCCCAAACTAGCTGCTCTTTTATATGCCGATCGCAGAATAGGGATAGGGGACAGATTTAAAGAGAGAGAGGAGTGGAACATTGAGGGCCAGTCGGTACAATTGGCAGGAGAGGTGGGAGGGCGGGGGAGCCAGCCAGATGTAAACACATCACATCATGTTGTCCTCTGACAATGTGAGGAAGCGGGGAAACTTTCTCGCCTTTCTTTTCCCCCAACTCCTTACCAATTTCACCAAATTGGTTGGGCACATGGGTGCTCTGGGTGGAGGGAAGGGATAGAGGGAGTAGGACGAAGAAAGGATGGATGGATAGGTAGATGGACAAGTTGTCATGACGACAGGGTTGCTCTGAGTGTGTGTTGGCTGATGAAGTCTCTCTTTGCCTGCTTGTCCAATCAGATGGCTGAGCAGCGCATGCAGCACGAGCAAGAGAGGACGCGGCTACAGCAGCAGCATAGCGCGGAAAAGGACAGCCTGGTCCAGGAGCGCCAGCGGGAGGTGAGCAGCCTGGAGAGGCAGGCCAGGGCCGCCCTGCAACAGCACCAACAGCACACCCAGGAGTGGAGGAAGCGCGATGCCCAGGTAGGGGGTCTCCACTGATCCTCGTTCGCACACACACGCATGCTGACCCACCGCTCTCCCATGGACAACCATTTTGTATGTTGCCCATTGACGTTTTCAATGGTTTCAAAATCACAGCGGGTTAAGACACTTTTTTACTTGTAAATGGACAGATATTGATATAAGAGGAGAATCGTTTTATAGATTACAATGTATTTGGCGCAAACGTACGTACGAATTTAGATTTTGCCGTTTGAAAATCTTTTTGTTTTGTTTTGGTAAAAACAATGCTGTGCTTAAGACAAAGTTTAAAATGTCTAAAAAAAAAATTTAATAATTTTGCACCGCATACGTTCGTAATACAAGTGTTAAGAACTCCGAAATCCGAAAACTCCGAAAAGAAACTTGCTGCGTTGAAAGCCCACTTTTTATTCCAAAACCCCGGGTTTAAATCTTTCATTTTCCGCTGTACGGTCATGGACCAGCGGCAAGCGCCCTGTGCTCCCACCGAAGTGCATCTCCGCATGGCATCCCCCTCTCACCGCAGGTATCTATCTCCCTCCTTGAAAACAGTGGTGGTTCCCTCATCCCACCATGGATGGCCACAATGAGTTAATGACATTGGTGTCTATATTAATGGACATCCCTGACACTGAGAAATAATTCTGTTTCCATTTAGCCAAACCAGCAGCAGGTCCTCATATCATGCTCCTCGCTCAGCCTTTGTCTCTCTGCAGCCTGAGCTAGCTTGGAGCTCTGTGGGAAACAATTTTACAAACCAGCCCCCAACTAGGGATGTATTCGACTCTTCAAGCTTTCCAATTAAATGGACTTGTCATCATCATTAGCTTGGGACAGGGATTCAGACAGACATATTTAAAATCTGTGGACAAAACGTGCTCACACCAAAATGTGGTTACAAATGGTGCCAGACACCGAACGAATCGCGACGAGTTCAAACTCGTAAAACATTGTACGTTTTTTATATTTTTAGCATTCGTCACAATTATTCAGGTGTCATTATAGAGATAATATACATTTACCACTAACAACAAATAACAAAAAAATATTCAAAAGTGTTCTCAACTGTATCGTAGGTGAAAGCCTATTCTTGTAAAATGTTTTGATATTGAAGAATTAAGAAATGTGCCAAACTCTAATAATTTTATCTTTTGTTTATGATGATGTTTAATTTTAGATGCAAACAGTGAAACTATATGGGATGTTCCCATCAATGTACAAAATGACCACTGGCTCAAATATCAAAATATCTGTCTCTGTTTTGAGGTAAAGACCGCATTTATTCCACCAGTAAACTGCTGTACTGGTTGGCTTGTATCACAGCAGTCTAAAATATATCAAATCCTTTTCCTTATATTTTTTGGGAAAGTGTCTTTGACACCACCGATGACACCAGCCAGTGTGTTATTTGGTTTCTGGAGATGCCGTCACAACGAGACGATAACAGCCGATAACATGCTGTCCAAGTCGTGTCAAAATGACATGCTGTTTGGCAAATCTCAGGAGGTGACAGAAAACAAACTTCCCCTGCCCTCATCTCATATTCTCAATTCCTGTTTGCCCGTGCAGCATTTTGAGTAGTGATCACACGCCCAACTAATGTCAGATGTTAAAGCGACAGAAATTTTCACTCGGGCCCTGAAAAGATGGAGGACAGGATTGTGAGCGCTCTGAAACTGCTGGGGATGTGAGTTGGTTTGACTTCCTGTGTGAGCACTGTTCCATGGATGTGCTGTTAAAATGACAAGAAGCTGACACCCCACCAGCAGATAATGTATTAAAGATGAGCTTTTTTTTATATTGAGCAAATCCACTTATTATTAAACACTTTTGCATCACCAAGGTTGTTTACCCCTTGAGAATTCTTTATCTCTCACTCTGATACTAAACCACAGCTAATGTGGCCCTTCGCTGGCATTTTTTAGACACATAAAGCTGCTGTGAAAAATTTCAAAAAAGCTGCATTTTGATGATGCCTAGAGAAAACATAGACCACTTCCTTTCCAGCATATGCCACAGCTTCTCTTCTTCTCTCAGTTCTTGCATACCCTGTGGTTCTTGGAGTCTCTGGACTTTTCACAGCCCATTGAACAAAACAATTCCACCAGATGTGTGAGATGGACAATGATATTATCATCAAGTGATATGTCAGTAACAGGCAACAAAGATGTTTGCTCTGGCAATTGAGCTTCATTATTTCTGCCTCAATCCTGCGCACACTTTGTCTTCCTGGATTCAGTGTAAGGATGACTGCAGCTCAGAGTTTATTGGCTAAAAGAACAGCAACTGTCCGCCAAACACTCTCGAGGATGAGTAATACCCACTCATCCCCTTGATGTGGGGGGACAGCAATAAATAGAATTCCTGACTCTTGCCTTGTCTTTGAGAAGGAGAGCCAATGAGTCGTAGCAGCGACTGGAGGGAAAAGCTAACACAGAGACACATTGTCCTGATCCCACTAAAGTTTGTTATCCAAGGAACTCTGACCTCACCCACTGTGTAGGCACTACACATTATAAAGACTTCCTGACTTCTCATTTTGTTTTCAGGATGATCACATCCACACTTTTAAACTTTCCTTCCCTTTGCTGATTGAGCCTTATACGTTCCATGTTATGAAATCTCTAATGAATTAAATTAAGCAGCTGGTTTTCAGGCCTCCTGTGTTGTTGGCTTCTCACCGAATCAGGGGATTAACTCACCATTCCCAGTCTGGTGGACCTGAATCTTGCCGTTCTCTTAAAAAGAATAAAGTATTTCTTAAATCGTTTTTTTTTTAAATACCAAAGCGTGAAAGGACGCTTTGAGTTTGCCTGTGAGTCCAGGATGATGAAACGTCTTGCTGCTGAAATATGTTTGCCCTGCAGTAGGTACTGTGTTGTTCTGTTAGTTGATCAATGCCCCCCAGAGGACGAAGGAGTTTCATTGAGCGTTTTGGGGATCCAAGAAACGTCACCTTCTAACATGCCCAAATTATGGTGGAGTGGCCTGTTTTTGCCTCCACTTTTCAAATGTATGCATACACCCATGGGCTGCTGAAAATATGAAAACTATTTTACACTGAAACCACAAGAAGTTTTTTGCTAATTCCATTATATGATTAAATAATTCAAAATATTTCACTGTTTTTTTCGATTATCAGAAACTTTAACTCAGCATTATACATGAATCTGAAGCTTTGTTTTTTTTTTTTTTTGCATACAACAGAATTTGTTTGTTCTGTTCAAAAAACAACATTTTTATATTTTTGACACCAACTCCTCCTCAAAACTCATTTTATGGCTGTTATTCTCCAGAATAATTATGTTCTTTTTTTCTGAAGGAACATACACACCATCTGGACTTCAAACAGCATGGGAGAGAGGGAGAGTCTTGTGAGGTCTTTCTTCTGGGCCATGATGGACTAAATAATGATGCTGTCAATTTTTCAAAGCGTTTCAATACTAAGTACGTGATTAAAATGAGTCAAATGAAGAGGGTGATGACAGCCTAAGTCAAAGCTAAGAGGATTTGTGATGAAGAGAACAAGGCAGACAGCGAGACCAGTGCGGACAGCGATTGTCTCAGTGCTTGTGTGTATTGTCATTTACCGAATGATTGGTCCCTGAGATCTAGTACTGTCAAGCGAGTCTTGTCTTGTTACTCAGTGATCTCCAGTAGTGGAGGAGAGTCCCACTGAGCTGGCGTGTCACTGTGATTCTTTAAATGATTTCATCACATACATCTGAGAGTTAGAACTCAGCTGTTTTTTTTCTTTTTTTCCCATTCAGAACGATTGATCATGGGCAAGTCGTGAGCGTGTACTGACGCTCTGTGATGTGTCAAGAGTTACAGCATACTCTGTTTCAAACCATGAAGCCATTTAGTATGTGCATACATCACATCTTGGATTTCAGCCAGATGGATTTTTATCTGATTGACGACAGTGAAACATTCATTACAACAGTGCGCCTGGTTCAGTCAAGTATCTTACATATGTGTATGTCCGTTATACTGCTTACACTATATGCCTGCATTGTACACAAAATCTGTACATATTGAGCTTTAAGAATCACTTACATTATGCTTATACAAATTGGTTTCTAAGTTTAGTTAATTAAGAAATAGTATAGGATGGTTAGATACATTATATTAAATTGTGACAGTGGTTTACTGATTAGTAATAAGTCATGTTTAGTGTTCTTGTCCAAAATTGGATGAAAAGACTGAGTCCAGTCTCATGTCTCTGCATTAACTTTAGTCCGAGATGCAGGAGGTGTTAAGCTTCACTTGACTTTAAGACTCAGTGTGTGTTCTCGTGCTCCTCAGTGGGTCCCATTTCCTGAGTTGTGAAGTCGTCGTTCGACTTCTATGTGTTCCTGTGCTTCGAAGTCAGAATGTGGGAAAAATATGGACACTGTAAACAAAATATGTTGTATGTATGTGTTAGGAGTGTTTAAACAACACTTCATCTTTCCAATATTTGCACCAACAAAAAGCAAAGAATAAGCATCAGATGTGAGCGGCTTATAAATAATTTAAAACGTGCGCATGTTAATCTGTGTAAGTAAAATATTTTCCAGCTGCTCAAGTCAAACTATAGACGTTTCTCCCAGCAGACGTTTGAGTCATTGCTGCAGGAAGAGCACAGGTGTAACTAATATGATTAAAGTATGGCTCTGTTCCATTTAGGTGTGTCTGTGAGCCAGAACACACAATACCAGGATAATGGGACTGGCATGCGTAGATGGAATACAGCTATTATTAATGTCATTAGTTCCACCCGTGTTTGCTAAAACATACTATTGACTGCAAGAAAGGTTTTCTGACCTGTCTGTCACCTTCATGTCATTGTTTCATGTTAAAATGCAAAATGATTTTTACTGTTCCATGTAATCTACAGCTACTTCTTTAAAAAAATTAACCTATATTATTACTATTATAATGTATACCATGGATCTACTCAGACTCATCTAATGGTGATGACATAATTAACTCACTACCAATTTTTCTGTATATGTTTTCTTAATCAAAGACGTGACATTAGACTCAAACAAAGTGTTAACTATGTGCACACACACATTTGTTTTCATGCTTGCCAGAGAACAGTGAAAAAGAGTGGCAGCTGTGTTGTGGTTGTGATCAAACAAAGTCTGCACATCCTGGCTTTTGAGTCCAAAAAGGATGCTGCCAAAACTGTCATAATGCAGTTTGCAAGGAAAGTTACAGTAAGATGTTGGTTAAATTATATATAAATATAACTTGTCTGTGCGACTATTGTCATTAAATGCAAGGAAGTGTAGGTATTTCTTGTGTTTGTAACCTCTGTGAAACAGAATTTTAAAATGTCTCGATGAGAAAATCTACAGTTTAAATGCAGCAAATTATTTTAAGTCTGCTTTTGACTTTGTGACATTTTCTCTAAATTGAACACATGCAGTCCGTTAGCCAGTGTCCCACTCTTCTCCTCTCCTCTCCTCTCCTCTGCCAGTCTTTTGTCATCTTAGCTGACACTGTGTAACCCGGTATATTTCCTTTGACACTTTCCTATTGTCACAGAGAGCTGCCTCTTCTCAAAGCCTCACATCAGCATGCTAAAATATGTCCTGCTGAAGAGCGCCTGTGCTCGCTTTACTTCCAAGAGAAATGTGCGCTTTTGGCCTCCTGAGTTTCTGATGTGTCACCGCCAATGTCTCCGTTCTGGAAGATTATACCCACACTTATTAAAAGATTTTTTGGAGGAGAGATCATCCACATTTGTTAAAGAGAGAATTATACATTAAAGAGTCTTGTGGGCTCAGATCTGATAGCTGCTTGCCCTTGAAGGCACAAGCAGAGTGGAGAGATTGGTAATGTTGGCAGACAGGGGAATGGGACATAGAGATAGAAGGTTGCATTAGTTTGTTTTTTTCTCTTTTTTTTTTTTTACCTTATTTTCTCTAAACGTGCCACATTCATACATGTCATTGTATTTGTGTGTGACAGCTCGATCATGTGCCTGTTTGTCTGTGTGTGCCAGTGTAGGAGGGGGTATAACACTCAGCCACAGCAGCTGCCTGTTTTTGTGACACTCCTTTGAAGTCGCTTTAATTCTCCCCAGTGCCCGCTAAAAAAGACTTTAGACACTTTCTGTCTGATTGCCTTAACGTGGCGTTGTCCTCGGATGCCCAGGCTTTCAGGAGGGGGAGGGGGGGCAAGAGGCAGAGCTAACAGTGCAAACCAAAGTGAGAAAGAAAGTAAACCAAGGAGACGAGGGAGGATGTGCAATAGCTGTGGCACACATGCAATGTAGGTCGTGAAGGGTGAAACACTACAGCTGTATTCCATCCGTCAGTGCCACCTACACTTCACTATATTTGTTGTGCTCATTTATTATTGTACAATTTGGGGAATTATTGGATTATACTGATGTAATGCATGTTTGGCTCTTTATGTACTACAAATACAATTCTTTTTTAGAACCGTGACGTCCTCCTGTAACATGGATGGCCCCATTTCATATAAATGCCATTCAGTATCTTGTCTTTATAAATTTTACATCCCTCCATCCTTTATCGATTCTGCTTAAGGATCGTGGAGGGGGCTGGAGACAAACTGAGCTGACACTGGGACAGAGAAGGGATACACCGGTCGCCAGCGTATTGCAGGGCTTCTTACTGAAACTTGTATTTTTTGAAATTATGTGAAATGTCCAATAAGAAAACATCTCAGTTTTGAGGCCTATTCCTCACTTCATTTGCATTAGTCGTACCGGCCCATTCAGACCTGGTATAAAAATCCATCCTCAGCGATGCCATCACTAGTGGAAAGCTTTATGTACAGGTCTGAACGCCCCTAAGAGGAATAACTTGACCTCTACATCTTGAAGCCTCAAGATGCTTGCAGGGCATTAATTAATATCCCTTACCTGAATCCACTATACATCTTTGTGTTTGTCTCCTTGCAGACAATTTCAGAATTGGAAGCGCAGTTGGCAAGTCTGCGCGATGAGCTCCAGGGGGCCCACACCCAGCATAAGCAGCAGCTTGCATTGCTTCGGGAGGAGGAAAAGCAGAGGGCTCTCCTGGACAAGGAAGCAGCCCTGGACCGACTCCGCTCTGAGGTGGAACGCATCCACAGTGACCTCGAGAGGGGCCACCTGCAGGCGAAGGATGCCGCTCAGGAAAAGGTGAGTGAAGGTTTGGTAAAAGATGACACTCGGTCAGTTTCCAATAGATTACTGTAAAAAATGCCCTTCGACTGGAGAGAACTGGGGTCGAGAAAAGGCCATTACATAGTTATATGCATCAGGTTCAGTTTTTAGATACTTAGCAGTGCACAAGGAGAGAGGTGTCACCTTGTAACCATAGTCTGAAAGTTGTATTCTTACCTTGTTTTTGCATTATTTTTTTCAAACCTTTTTGAAAATATTTGTTTTTTTTTTTACTTCCTTTCACATAGTGGTTCTGTTTTCCACTGTTTGCCTTCTCAGATAGATATTTGTCAGAGAACATGTGAACAATGTCATCTTTTTATATCAGTGCTGATAGTGAAAATAGATCCTGTTTGTCTATGTGAGTGGGACTAGTTATATCCAAAGGCTTTTACAATTCCCCTGCAATTCACATACACACATACTCCTGCATCGATGGCAGCAAGCTAACCATGCATGACACCGACCTGATCATTAGAAGCAATTGGTGTTAAATGTCTTGTTAAAAGACACTTAGACATGTGGAGGATCAAACCACCACCTGCAATTAGTGGACGAACCGCTCTACCTGCTGAACCACAGCCTTTCCCAGGGGGAGGAAGGCAGGCTTCCCTGGGTTTGCCACTTTAGCAGAGATCTGCTACTATGTCATGCCACCACAGAGAAGTTAATGTTCTCAGAAGCACCAACAGATGGCTCAGTGTTATTGAGGTATTCCGTGCTGAACATCAATTAAAATGCTGCATGTTACTATTACTATAAGTTTTCTAGATCCTGAAACAGAGAGTTGAATGAGATAATCTACACTACATGTACTTTTGTAGAAGTACTTGAGAGTACTTCTTTTTGTTTACCCTCTTAGCATCATGGGATGTATTATTTTGAAATGTGTACTACTGAAGGATTGAACTTAAGGGTCAGTCATAGACGAAAACCCGCAGCGTTTCAGTAGAGGCTTTATCCAGCTTTGCTTTTTGCTATCTTGGTGAACCAGGAAGTGCTTCAATTAAAACTTCTGAGGTCCCCTCTTTTTTCTTTCTTTCTCTCTTCCTGTGTCATATTTGCTCTCCTCGCCACGACAGAAACTGGCCCCACAGCTGGGAAATCACCCATAATCTTATGCTGGTTTAGCAGGAAGCTGACCTAAGGTGGTGTTGATCAGAACCTAATCCCTCAGCAGGGCCCATCAAAGAGAGCATTTTTCATTAGACACCATCCCACGCCAGCTGCGCAGCATTAGCCCGGAATGCAGGGACCTCCAAAGTACCCAGGCAGCCATTTTGGCTCCATATGGCACACAGAACTAGGGGTACTGAGGGGAGAGAGATCCAAGGAAAAGAGTGTTCTTATGACAGGGTAGTCTTAATTTGAAGAAATTACGCTATTTCCTACCGGCTCCTTTTGGACATGAAGGCAGTATTAAAGCTAAAAGTTACTTTATCTTTTTGTCACACTTTAATTCCTTTCTCTTCTCTGCTTTTTTCTACATGGTAAAATGACCTGCAGTTGTCAGGGAATCTGGAGTGGATTCAAAGCAGTGAGAATTAATGTTGAATTTAGACTAATAACGATATCGGCAATGTGCTAGTTTCACTTTTTCATGAAAGAGATTAATGATTTCTCCATCCTTTTTTTGTCAGCTGAAAGTGCAAGCTTCTAAAAAAAACTAACCAAAGGTTGAACATTTTACTTTCTACTGTCATATCTGACTCCAAGTTTGAGTTCGGAGTGGGCAGTGAAAAGTTTCACGACTTCATTGCTCTTTTTTTTTGGCTCACACGGGATTGAAGTCAGCCAGGCCTCAGATCCATATTGACTTGTTCACCCTGTTTTGTAAGCTGAAAATTTCTCATTCTTTTGATGCAGACAGAAATGCTGTCCTATGCAGTCCACTGTGCTCTTAGAAGCAGAGCTGGGCAGGCCAGCTTTTCCCTTTTTTTTTTTGAACACATCGCCCAGATCCTGGAAAAAAGGCCAGAGAAATCCATTAAATCCATGAATGGATTCTCATCAAAGACGCAAGCGTTTAAGGGAAAGACAGAGAGGGATACTGAGGGATGGGGGATGTTTTAGGAGTAGACAGTTGGAGCTGTTGGAATAAAATAATGAGAAACAGAATATCAGAGAAGATAACATCAGATGTTAAGATAGTTCTATACATTTGAGCTTCACCAAACAGAAAGCACGAGAGGAGGAAAAGTGATGGAGGTAGGCTGAGAAGGTGTGGGGGTGATTTTGTGTGTGTCGGTGTGAGTGTATGTGTGTGTGTTTTCATGGGTGAATGTGCACAGACCTCCCAATCTCTGTGCTCCACTGAGGGGCCTGTGAAGCTGCCTCTGTGCCTGATAAAAACGCCTCATCTCTGGGCCACAGTTAGCATGAATCCTGCCTCTCACCCACACCAGCTCCTTATCTAACTTTCTTATTCCCCTCCAAAACCCCCACGTCCCTTACTCTGCCTTCAAGTTGTGGCAAAGCCTAGAACATTAGGGCTTCCAATAAAGAGTCGGCCTTACCAGAAATCAGGTCTAGGCTTTGAGGAAGTGTGGGAACAACACACATACATGTGCACACTGCACACACCGCTCTGTATGCTGAGCAGCATATTAAACACAAGTTATAAATTAAAAGTCTGTTAAAGAAAAGGCCTTTGTGTTGAACCTCTTCACCTCACACTGCTTGTCAATACTAGAGATGGGAGATCGTGTGCAACAAAAGATCAGGAGGCCTGAATAACGTCTGGAACCTTGAACTCATATTTACACTTCGTCTGAAAAGTGCGGCTCTTTGAACTGCAGAGAGAGATTAGATCTGCAAATTGTGTGTGTGTGTGTGTGTGTTTGGTATATTTGTGCATACTACATCCAATGTGTAGCTGATATAAATGTCACTATGATTGTACTTAAAAAGCTTGAATAAAAAAAACAGGTGATGATTCCCACTACTTGTGTGTGTGCTGGTGTTTGTACCTCTGTTTTTGTGAGGACCAGTTTGACAATTTGACCTCATGGAGTATAGACATTTTGCCCTATTGTCACATGATAAATCCTTTAAGAGACTGTTTGAAGGTGAAGCGTTGGTTTTAGGGTTATGGTTTGGGTTAGATTTAGGTCAGGGTTAGGGATGGAGTTGGGGCTTGTACTGTACCTGTGATGATTAAGGTCAGGGGCAAGGAAATGCATTATGTCAATGAGATCGAAATAGAGTACATGTTTGTGTGTGTGTGTGTCTGTGTGCACACATGCACGTGTGCATGTGTGCATGCGCGCGTGCATGTGTGCCTACTTTCACTTCAGATCAAAGGGACAGGGCATTTCATCAAACACTAACCAAGTGTGACAAAACCACCTGGAGGCAGACGTCAGCCAATGAGAAATCAGCTTTTTGGCATGCAGTAGCCAATCGGTGCTCCCGGTGTCACAGCACCAGTGTCCCCCTAGCCATTCACCACGTGATTACGGAGACATGAAAGCCATGACAGCGCTCACTCACATACAAATAAACACACACACACACAAGCTGCGCACTCGAGAGCTCAGGTTTGAAGGCCTCTGTTTTGCACTCAGTCTCTTCTGTCTTCTTTTTTGCTTCCAGGATATAGTGTTAGCTCATCCATAAACTTAGAGGTTCTCCTCTAAAAGTTAGTTTGGCCAATCAGCTTCTTCAAACACGAAAATTGTGTTCCGGACCGTTTTCCAGAGTTTAAAGCAGCAGATTTTTCGGGTCAGAGGCGTTCACAACAGGAAAGTGTCTGGAACATTTGGGAGAGGGTTTTTTTATAGCCCCCCTGGAAAATTTCTGGAATGTGTCCAGAGTTTAGTCCACGTCCAAAAGCAGATTAAAGCTAGCAATAACCAATAAATATGATCAAAAGGGAACATACTAAGATTAACTTTTGGGATTATTTAGTGAGCATCGCTGCCCTATATAGATCTAAATCTACGATTCAGATATGTTTCTTACATCTTGATTCAGTTGACAGGATTTGCAGTTCATTCATGTCTCAAATGATCATTTGTGAGCAGATTTTATCTCCCTACACACATTGATTTTGTCTGAGAAATAAATAAAAAAACTCCTTTTTAAGCGACCATCAGAAGTTGCTAAAAACTAAAAAGCTTGTTTGTGCTCAGGGATGCAGCTGGAGTAGACGGCTGCAGCTGCTTTTTGGTACATCAGACTTCAAAACCTCATTTAAGTTGTTTGGCACAAGAAAATCATCTGTATATAACTTTTGTTTGTTGTGCTATGCACAGAGCCGACGAGGCGGTCTTTTTATGTGGCTGGAGATGCATCTACACAATTTCCCATGTGTGGACACGTGTCTTTGGCCATGCTCAAATGTGGTTTGACTGATTGGATCTTAATGTGTCTTCAGTGTGTTCTTGCTGCATTCACATTCATATTTAGGGCTGTGCACTTGAGAACAGACCACCCAAAGTGTTTTTTAGTGCAAAACATGCACAGCAGATTTTCTAAATTTTCACAGAAGTTACAACTCCCCACAACACAGCACCACACTTGTTTGCAGCGTGCCTCTCCCTTCTTCAGAAAGTGGTTCGGGTTTGTTCAGTTTTATTTATTGAGAAGCAGAATTTCCTCAAGGTCATGAGATCAATTATCAAAATGAAGACAGAGATAGATTTCGTCTTCCTAAAGAGAAATCTTTCTATGAGCAGAAAGATTAATTTAACAATAATTAAATCGTCCATTTCAATCCATACACACCAGCTTTGATCCCAAATACTTTCACACAGGGAGTGTACTGTTCTATCTCTTAGCCAGAAGATGGTGGTACAAGGTTGTTGTCATTGTTGTTGTCATAGCCACGTCTTGTTCATCTCCCTTGCCCCCTGTCACTGCTGACTTATTAGGTTGGTCCTCTGCCATTTGGAGATACACCAAATCACATTATTCAGTCGGTCATGGATTAGACGAGGAGGAGAGAAACACAAGCTGAGGGATGATCAAAGAGGGCTCACATTCACCTCACTGACAGACTAACTGGGAGACAAAGAGATGGGGGAGAGGGAGCGGAGAATCAGATTTAAGAGGAGAAAGGGTGTAAAGTTTAGGATATTCGGTGCGGGGGCATTCAGATTATTGGAGCTCTGTGCCGGAATATGTTTGCCGCAAGTGTGTGTTTACATCATAGCGGATGCACAAACAAACATTAAAGCATTTTAATGCGCTAGAGACTGTGTTCTTGTGTGAACACATGTTGTGTGTTTGTGCGAGTGTACGCATGCCCAGACCTATGTGAGCTCCTCGTTTCCTCAGTGCACCATCAGGCCCAGCGGCAGAGAGAGAGGGAAGCAGAGAGAGAGTGAGTGAGTGAGTCACCCAGCACATGAAAGAGTCAAAGTAAAGGATCTGCCGTCCCAAAAAAACATCACACAGCTCCCTTGCTCACTTTTTGAAGTCATCCAAGAGGAGGGAGGGAAGCGACACACTTTCTCAATCGCATTAAAACATGGCATCAGGCAGCTCCCATCTTGTTGCACGCTATAGATTACACTTTGGTTTGAAGTTGAGTTTTTAAGTGGGACACCATGATATTGGGCTCTGTTTTTTTGGGGTTAAGTTCCTGATCTAAACATCAGGCAGACTTGTTGATCAAAAAAGGATGGAGGCATAAATAGACAGGAAGAGAGAGATCTACCAGGCAGAAAACTAGAAAGACAGATTTTTTTTTTGTCACGGGTCAATCAAAGTTCAACGACCAATTTAAAAAAGTAAAATTGTCTCATTAAACTTGAGACCTTTTCTGTACATGGAGAACGAGACTGAAACATTTTTTCACCTGCGTATGTTAAAGCAATCTGGGATTCTACAAGCAACTCCTTCCATTAAGCATTCAAAGCTTTTTTTCTGGACCTTATGATGTGTGTTAAATGTTAAGCCCACTCAAACTGATGGTAATGGATGTAATTGGTGTTCTGATACCAAGAACTGGCTGGATGAGTGTGTAATCACTGAACATTTGGTATGGTATGGTGTGTGCTTGTGTATTTGATGTATGTTTATCCGTGTATGCCTGTCTGTGTTTGTACCCATGATGCATTATTTCTGTACTGTGTGTGATGCAGCACTGACACTGAGCAGCAGGGATGAAGAGAATCACTACTGACAGCCAGTGATGGCAAACTGTGAAATGGAAATAAAGCCTCTTGTCATTACAGCAGAAACTCTCTCTCTTGCACACACGGATACACAGGCGAGCACAGCAAGACAGCAATGATTACAGACAAACTAGCAAATAACATCTCCCAGCTCTCCCTCGTTGGCAGATTGAACTCAAATTGTTATGAGAGACATGCGTGGTGAACAGAGAATCATTTTGAATGCTTACAAATACTGCTGCCACTAAAACTGAAGGATTTGGTGGAGCAATGGGGAAAAGCTTCTCTTTGAAATCGTTTTGTGCTTTGTTTTGGAGAAATTAACTCCACAAATCGGCTCCATAGAGTGCAATACACAGCTCGTTGTGTGCAGGGTGGAACTACCAAACACCATTAAAAGAATGTGCTGTGAGAATATTTTTCACCATAAAGATGTAATATATAGCAATTCTTGATGAAATTGTCTAAAAACAACAAGACCTATGTTATATATTTGTTGTTTACTTACATCATCCAAAATGTTTCCACCAATGTTCAAACCAGAGAAATTGTATTCAAGGTAACAGTGTGTTTCATTTCAGCCGTCTTTTATTTGCATTATATTCTTCTCTGCTATAACTTTGCGGCAAATGATGTATGAGGAACTGCTAGCCAGTTAGCTAGCCGGCTGCTTGTATTGGACACTTGTAATTGATTACGATTAGTCATTGCTTTGTTTGTTTCATGAAGTGACTAAAACTTTTACTCTTCCGTGAGTCATGTCAGGGAGATTTTCATCTGCAATGGTGGTGAGGATAACCACTCCCATGAACCCACGCTGCATCTCAATGTTACTTATTGTTGGTTTAAAACCCTTGCTACCCTTTGTCCATTCACCTGACACATTGTTTTTCGTCTGTCTATGTCCTGTCCAAGTATTGAGTTTAATTTTATGTCTTCTTTTTGAGTTCAGCTTCAGGACAATGCTGAAAACCATGATTTTCATTTTTATGCAATGTGAGATGATTGGAAACATATCGGAGAAAAAGCCATATGGAGACGATATTGTGTCCAGAGCTGGAAAATGCTTTTTTAATAATACCACTGGAAACAGACATCAATCAACAGAAACAACACAAACTTTCTCACTCACACAATCTCACTTGCCAATAGCTATAGATAAAACTATTGATGTGTGTTTGGCCCTCATGTATACTGTTTGTTGATCGTCTCTGTTGAAGTGTGACTTATGTGCATATCTTTAAGCCTGTGTGTGTGTATGTGTCTTTGGTTGTGTGTGCGGGTGAGGGAGTAAGGGGTTGTCACAAGTTGTCACCCTTCTTTCTGCCACTCCTGTTACTCCTTTTTTTAAGAATGTGTGTGTTTGGCCTGATTCCCACTGTAGATTATTAATTAAGTTCTGGTAAGCGGTGCATGCCTCGCCTTCAGATCCACTTCCACTCTCTTTAACACACACACACACGCGTACAAACCCTGTACACATGCACATGCACAAACACATACACACACACTTCAAAGCAGCCACACTCCACACTGCTAGGATTAAGAGGCGATTGAAGAGCCTGATGCAGCCTCAAAGTGCCTTCAGCATAAAAATGCCTTTGGCAGGGCACAGGTAGTCTCTTTGAAAGTGCTCACACTCACATACACACACTCGCACTGACGCACACTTATGGCAGGGCTTTTAATTTATCTCAGATTTTCCCTTTGTATTTGTCACAGCCTTGTTGGGCTGTTTTCCTTCCATGTACCATCCATATCTTCATCAATATCCAGCCATTTTAATGTGTTTTTAGATGGTTGAGCTCTATAATGTATGATGTTGTAAAAATGCTTCCCGCCAAATTCCCCTGAGTGACTGTCGGTAAAAGGAATAGGCTAGTAGCAAGCTCTTTATGTTTTTATGAAACATCTGAACATGCCTGCATGTCAATATGTCCATATGTTTCTAGGAATACACTCACATGTGAACTGTCATATACAGTAGATAGTCACAGACACACACACAAGTCATTACCCCACCATCAGTCGCAGAGAGGATGCTGATATTTCACTTTCATTTTTACTACAGAGCCTCATTGCTTTTATTTATCAATTACAAAGATAACATCAAATCAAAAGAATGGTGCCTCCAATAGTGTCATGCTGTTGGTGTTTTTTCCAAGAAAATTAGCCTGCTGACAAATCCAGGCAGTGCAGGTTTAGCTCACTATACTAAACACTAACTGTCCCAGTGTCACTTCAGCTAAGCTCTTGCCAAGATTGAGCAGTCCTGCAGCATTAAAGGGAACAAATGTGTCAGCTGTAAAGAAGAAACATCGAAGGGCTCCATTTGCACTCCTCTCCCACACACAGTTCTTTCTCTTGCCTTTTCTACACCCTTCTTTGTCTCCCCCTCTCTCATCAGCTGCTATAGGGCCCCTAGGGACGAGCGGGCCGCCACTCAAAGCGTCCTGGCACAGGAAGACAGGCCTGTATCCTTGGTGATGGCTCTGTGTTTCTGTGGTGACAGGTGTGTCCGCTCAGAGCGGACGGTGATGTTTGTCAGGAAGTGTTTGGATAGGGTGCAAAGTCCAAACCAAGCTCAGGTGTTGATGGCTACGAGGGGTGTATTCAATGAAACTGTGTTTGTTAGTGAGTTGTCTGTCTGTCAGTGGCTGTCAGGACAAGATAGATTGTGTGTGTGCATGTGTGTGTGTACAGGCTGCATGGATCTGTCTGTTTGTTTCAGCATAAGTCAGGTTTTATGCGTATTAAAATAGTTTTTAAAAATAATCTCTGCATTGAACTTTTTCTGCCAGCTCTCTAGTAAAACTCGAGTGAACCCATGTGAGAATGTAGCAGCGAGTGAGTGGGCGTGTTGATGACGTTTCTAACATGCAACAAAATCAAAACTGTAGAATGAAAAAAAAACTTGCTGTACACCGACGAAGATATCAAATTGGGAAAAGGCAACGAGATCCAAGAGCTTTTAGGCCAGCACCAGTATCAATGTGCTAAAAACAAAACCACTGTGTTTTCTACAGTGGAATTTATACATTATTTCCTGCCTCCTGCATGCTCTACCCAGGCCCCACTCCTTTCCTGAATGTTGCAGAAATGTTCCTGTCGTTGTGTCGTTACAATAGTTTTTTGGACCTGTTGTTGCCGTAGACATCGCCATCGAATTCCAGCACTTCACACCGAATTATCTCACTCAGCCTCTCATTGAAACTCTGGCATTACAACACAGTCGGCTGAAAGGGGACAGATCTTGTATGAGAAACTCTGTCTTTGCTTCCAGCTGGCTACTTTCCCATAGAGAAACAACACAAAACAAAGAGATGAGCGGTCCCCAATAAACGCTTAACAACAATCTCCACTCACTTCCATTCTGTCTTCACTGGGTTGTCTCCCAGCTTCTCCCGATCGCCTCTCTTTTTTCTCCCTTTAGCTAATTGGCAGCAAAGTTTTAATTCCCCCTGCCCCCCTTCTTGTTAAGTGATGAATTGTTGGCAGGGGATCAGACAGTAGGGTGGTGCCCACTGTGCACCATGCCTGTCGCGGCCTGCTGGCACAAGAGCATCGGGACTGGCGATATGCCAAGGGGCCACAGGCCTGCGCCACAGGGACCCTGCCAAGAGGCAGAGGTCATTGTGAGTGTGTGCGTGGGTGCACGTGCCATGTGTGTGCAAGCAGGCTGGGGTAGATTGGGAAGGTGATGTGTCTGTGCACTTCCTAACAGAAGATTCAATTTCACAACTCGCCCTCTTTGTGTGTGTCTATCTGTCTGTCTGCATATCTGTTTCTCACACCTTCCTCTCCCTTCTTGTTGCAGACCAACAGCAGGTTGAAGCAGATTGAGAAGGAGTACAGTCAGAGGCTCACCAAGTCTGCCCAGGTAATCAATTTTCTCTTCTACCTTTTTTCCCCCTCTTTCATTTTATATTCTTCCTTTTCCACGGAACAGTTTGAAAATGTGGACAAATGTACTGATGGAAAAAGTGAGGAAGCACACATTAAAACACACACACACACACACACACACACACACAGTCCTGAACTACCCAGCAAGTCATCCTGCCTTTTACCCTTAAGCAGATATGCACCAACTCACATTTGGACAAGAACGTGGACACACACTCCCCATATCTTGCATGAGGTTTTTGCAAAATTCAGTGGAATACCTCTACACATAAAATTCAAATGCCTGTATTACACTACAAATAGACAAAGCTCTATTATCTGGATCTTTTCTTTGCATTTCTTCTCCTCTGTGAACATAGATGAGGACTTGAAAAACGTCAGTTTCAGTCAGGGCAAGTTTTTATGTTTCATATTGAAGGAAAATAATTTTCTCTTTTTGCTCTTAAAGCTGAACTAATCAATATTTTTATATTAACAATTAATCAAATACCTGTGTGATGTGAAAGAGAACGCCAATGGTCAGCAAATATTAACATTACATTCGTAAGTTGGACCGAAACACAACTCAAAATTCCTGCTGATGTTTCCTGGTGTCTTGAATGAGTTAATAGCCCCCAAATGGCCAAAAATCAATTGATGCTACTTTAAAATGCACACATTGCTTTCTCTAACTGGTCATTTTGTAGTTTCCACTTTCCCTATAATAGCAAGCTGTTAGAATTCTGTGTGCTGATGATGCGTCCACATAGATGCTTATGCAATTAGTTGTTCCATCAGTTCCAACATCAATATCTCCAATATTGAAATAATCAAGCTCAAAAGAAACCGAATTATATTTATCACACTTGCTCTGTTAAATTTATCACAAACATTTGTTTGTTTTCTCCACCTCTTCATTTTCTATCAACTGCCTCTAATACTTTTTCCTTTTAGAGCATCGCCCAGCCACACTTTGAAAACCTTTCTACTCAAGAGCCATATGTTTAACATTACTGCATGTCTCCTCAGACTGTGCCCATTTCAAACAGCAATAATTCTTCACTCCAACCAGGAATATAACTTCCAACCAGGAGACACTCTCTGTCTCAAAAAGTTCAGGTGGCTTTAACCTTATCGGTTTAAAAGATCCAAAACACCCTGAGTAGTGTTTACAATATAAAAGAAAAGAGTTGTCTTCTAGCAGATTTAAATATCGCAATCATTTGGCCCTAATTGCACCTCGTTACTCAAAGAGGGGGCTTTGTTGTTTTTCTTTCTTTCTTCTCTTTAAATCCTCCCATTTTGAGTTGGCTGGCAGAGGCATAGAGTTGAAAGCGGGGTTGACACGCAGATGTTGTGAGAAAACGGTAGCTTATTAGGTTACACAATGCTTCGACTTCAGAAGAAGTTGAATGCTGTGCGAAAGTTCAGCCATGTTTGCCCGCTTTGCCCCGTGCGGTACGCCGCCACAGACAGCAACAAGTGACTAATCCTCTTCTTCCTGTTTTAGGGACAGAAAACTGGCACAGCCTCAACAAACAACACTCTCTGACATTAAAGAAACTGTCTGTGTGCAGAATTCAGCACCTCTGGTGAAGTGTGTTGTTATACAGAGGCTTATGCTGAAGGTGTGGGTTTTTGTGCAAACATCTTAATATGTGTGATTAATGCAGGCTATTTGTCATGGGCTGGGACGGCTTTGTTTTATAAGGTAAAGGTGGAACGGAGGGGCTTTTGTTGCCTACCCCTTGGGGCAACTCAGTCAAATGTAAACAAGAGGCCTCTGAACCTCAAAGGCTAACCCCAGTTGTTAACCCCTCAGTGTCTGACAGGGGGCATCGCTCTTGAGCTCAACTGCATGGCTACTTGCCCAATTAAAAACATACCATGCCATACATTATCCTGAGGGGACTGGAGACGCACAACTTAAGGGTATATGTTTACGTGCATGCACACACATCCCTCTCCCTTGCATGTTACCGCTTTGCTTTTGTCTCTCTTCCACTGCCTTTCTTATTCTCACACACACACACACACACAAATACACAGGCTCTCCTAATTAGTGTCTCTCCAATCCAATCCTGTGTGTTAAGCATCTAGCTGTGAGTGGTCCTCCTGGGTGACCTGTGAACTGAACAGGGCTGCTCTCTTTCCCCATTTAATGATCAGGATACAGTGGGTGGTAGCAGCGGTGCTGGTGGGAGATCATTACTTTATCCCTGACCGTCCACTGTGGGAGTAGGTAGGAGGTGGAAGGAATTTGCCATGGGAGGCACAGTGCATGAGAGGGACCATGTTCTGGGAAAAAAAAGGTTGAAGTTCACTCTATATGCAAATACACCTCATTTATTTCAGCACAGCACTGGTAATTAAGTTCTACAGTGTTCACAGTTGTCCTCTGAGGTATGTATTCACCAAACTAATCACAGGATGTATTCCTTTTGATACAATCTCAGTCCTTATATTATATTGCCATCACTGTTGCTATATCAAAGTTGCTATAATCGCTACTTATATTAATACAGTGAGTGATGACCCATTGGCTGTTGTTCTTTGCATTATGTCATGGGGGGATGAGGGGCGTTTTGTCATCTTTATGCATTTATTCACTACATTTACTGACTTTAGACCCATTTAGCATCTGCCGAAAATATTGTAATAAAAAATAACTTTTTGGACAAACATTATCTACTTTCCATAGAAGCGAGCCACACAGATCTGTTTCTATTCTTGTTGAGTAAGTGGCGGAGCAGCAGTTTGTTAAACAGATGGAGGTTGAGCGCTGTGTGACAAGACAAAATATAAAAGATATTCAGTTGTCTTCAACTTTCTCTCCAAGTTATCATTTTACAAGTACATGTAGCTGAAATCACAGAACAGCTGTTGTCTTTAACTTCAGTGTTTTGTCTTTTTATCGGACGTCAGATGTCGCGGTTATAAATCTGTATTTTAGCAGTGCAGAGCAGCAGCTTGGACATGGCTGGTAGTAAGTGCTGGTGAACATCATCACAATGGGCCTCATACATGTTTTCCTGTCTGACAACCTAAAAAATTAATGAGAACAGCTTTATCAGCTTTAAAATACTGTGAGAACAAAGACAAGAAGCAAAGTGAGACCAGAGCTGCACTTGACTGGACATTTTCCTGAAATTTTCTGGAGGTGCTGTTTGTATGAATGGAAATATCCGAGTCAGTTTCTCCAGATGTTTTCCATAACCTTTCTTGCGATGCATCTAAGAATCAAGAAATTTCCCCACCTCTAGTTTGGGAACGTGTCTGACCCAAACAATCTGCTGTTGCATTCCTCATATGAGAAAGGCTCTGGAAAATGTCTCGACCCAATGTTACAAACATTTTCTTGAGTTAATCTCTGAAAACAGCAGACACAAGGCAGACTGCAAATTCAATGGGATAAATGAACATACAAATTACCGTATTGCACAACAGTTTTCAACTTTGTCCTCAATTTTACACATTAACTTTAGTGCCTCAGATTCATGGAGAAGTAAGCCGGCTTTTAGCCCAAAACAGAGATGCTAGCAGGCTGGGTAAATATAAAAGTGTCACCAGACCATTAGTGACTTAAAAGGCCTGGCTTGCTATCAGACCGAAAAAGGTGTAGTGGTGTGTGTATACAGGAATCACAAGACAGGCAGTTGAGTTGTGTAGTTTAGAGTGCCACCACCGCCCCGTGGCTGAAGACCAGCAGATGCAGGGACTCCATATTGCAAAATAATTATTATGCCCAGAAATGATGTTCCCATAATAATGTGCCATTTGTTCTTTTCATGTGGCTTCTTTCCCACTGACAAAATAAGCCTAATCTCTCTCCCTCTCACACTCTCCCTCTCACTCTCTCTCGTCGACCTGCACCACCCTAACTCCCATACTCCCACACAATGTGCAGATTCCAGCAGGGCTAGTCCTCCAGAGTTTGAACACAGTAAACAATTATCTATCTAGCCCAAAGCTAGCAGCAGCACCCCTACACCCCCTTCCTTTTCCCCCCTCTCTGCCTTCCTCTCCCTCTCTCTTTTACTGTCTCTCATCTTTCCTCTGCCTTTCCCTGACAGTGGCTTAAATAGAATGTTAATTTTGACTGGAGTATTTCAAAGCTGAGGCAGTTCCTTTTCATCTTAGTGTGCACCGCAAGTTCACCAACACAAAGTCACTCTGCTCTTCAAAAAGGAAGTTGTTTTTTCCTTCCTGTCTATTTTTTTTTTGCCTCCCCTTTCTCTTTTCTCAGCTCGCTCTATCTTCTGTCTCGTCTCAAAAAAGACACGAGACATGAGACTCCAGAAAAAGCAGTGTTTTAAGGAGGTTGTTATACTGCCAACCAAATCTATGACAGTGTTTCACAGCCCACCCAGGTAGATTGAGACCTGCCCAGGGAGATAAGATCACTTGGTTTTAACTTGGGTCAATCTTCCACTACGAAACCTGATTTCAGTCTTTTCTAACAAACTTTGTTTTGACCATACACCTGTCTGAGTTGAGTGTGCTGAAGTAACTGAAGTGGGGAATAGAGGTTCCTCTGAGCAAAGCCTATAGCTTCTCTACTGTAGCCTGAGGCACGTAGATACCATCATATTGTAGCATCTACAAATAGTCTTGTATAGTCTAAATGTAATAGCGTCAGAAAATGGCCTGCATGAGTCTCTGCATTGGTCACGCAACTCACCACTGATTGCTGCGCTGCATGACAAATATGAAATGCCCTTTTAATCAAGGACAAGTCATTTTGTGAAATAAAGCAAATCAGAATTTTTTATGGAATTTGTTTAGTACTTGAGCTGCATCCGGCAGCAGGTTTTCTCTTCATTTTGACTGCATCACACGTTTCAAATATAAACATATCTATAGTGACCAGTGCCCTTAACAATACTCTGTCCATCAGCCAGTTGTTGTAGATCCTCAACGATTCAAAATTAAATTAAAACGTCCATATTCATGTTCTTCTTACCTCTAGCTTATCGCGGAGCTACAGACATCTGTATGTGACTCAAAAGAGGAGGCTGTTCGTCTGCAGCAAGCGATGGAGCGGCAGCTGGAGGAGACCAACACCCGATGGGATGAGGAGCGGAGGACAATAACTCACCGTGCAGATGAGGCCAACAAGGTCAGTGAAGAGACACTTAAGAGAACACTCACTTGATAACACTTCTATCAGCAATCATGATATGCAGAACTAAATGTCTCTGCTCCAATATTCTTCTTTTATATAAACTGGTTGAGTATATAAAATGCCTCTCCTCTACACTTAATATAGATATAGGTATAGATATAGATAGGTATAATAGGTTTCACACCCAGAGCAATATTACTGTATTATCAGTGTTTACCTCATCGAGTTGATTTTGTGGAAAAGCACTAAAGTAGAGGCAAATGGCTCAATCTGGTGAGACGAGTGAATAAAAAACTTATTTTTTCATGTTGGATCAAATGTTGGAGAAGTGAATGACCCAATTTGGTGTGTTTTCAGTTCAAATTGCTTTAAAATTAGACATGAGGCAGTTTGATGAAAAAACTGAAGAGAGCCGCCTCTCCAACTAAATATGTTGACGGTCTGTTTTCTCACATGGGTTCACGGACATTTTACCTTGGGGCTGGCAGGAAAAGTTTCTGAAAATGTCACAACTGACTCAGAGACTTACAGCCTCACAAAATCAATACATATTCTTTTCACTCTACTACTGACTAATGGTGCGGTTTGAAACTTGTACCTTTAGCAACATCTGTACTTCACCTTGGTCAGTCCACAAGTTGGAAAGTGTTTTATCTGTCTTTCTTATCTCTTGGCAGTCTTACGTACTTCCAGTCCTTTATCACTGTTCTCTGCGGAGGTGGTGGGGTGTGTCAGTAAAACTTAAAAAAAAGCCTTGTCTGGATTTGACTTTTATAAGGTAGACACAGGTCGCTTTTATTTTGTTAAAACATGGTCACAGTTTGTGCATGCGCTATGTCATTTTTATGGCTTGTTGCAAACTCCATAGTGTCTTAAAGTGGCTTGTGTGCTGTGTCCGCCGCACCCCACCTCTCAAGTCAAAACCTCTCTATATCATTACTGTCATTTTCTTTTACAGATTCAATTTTACACACGGCTCTTTTTTTAGCATCAACCTTATTTTTTACTCATTTTTAGAAAATGACTAATCTATAGCCAAGTTAGTTAATGATATTCATATTTAGAGATGAAAATGTCTTTTTTTATGAAAAAATGTCCATGTTGGACTTATGCCACTGCTTAATAATTCTCCAGATGACTCCAGATAAATAAAAATGGATGATTAATTCATCTCCCCAATCTTTTTCACTCCGCCATGCAAATTTCTCTTTCACAATCACAGGATCTTTCAGTCTTCTTCCCCAAAAACCACACAGTGTCAGTTGATTGGGTGTGGCTCACTAAGTAAAGAGTTGTTGTGTCTGGGATCAAGACATGTTTCCAAACTCAACCTTGTCTGTTTGTGGTTGCAGCTGCTTCATATAGTAAGTAGTGAGGTCTGTGAGCCTCCCTGTATATCTCCTCTCCCTGCAGGCCCTAGCAGCCTAACCCCCCTCCCCTCACTCAGACCTGACTTCTCTCTCAAAGCAGGCAGTTTTGCTCTGTAATAGCTATTCTGAGCTCTGCCTCACAACTAGAGGAACTGTCTGAAATATCATTTCCTCTGTTGCTACCAATTTATACATCATGTCCCGCCTCCTGCATGCTCTTCTTAGGTTCCTGCTGCGTTCTTCAAATGTGAAAGGCAAACACCAGAAAATGTCAGGACATAATTTTCTTTACATTTTCTAGAATTCATGTCTGACAGCCGCTTTATTTATAAACTGACACTTTAATTCTTGCACTGTGTTCGGGATATGATCAACAAAGCTTCACAAATTAATTTTCATTGGGACTATACAGACACACACACACACATTGCAGAAGATTAGCTGTTTGCTTTTTTATACTTTAGTAACTCAATATCAACTTATAAACTGATGCTCATGAGTCATAAGAACTTATTCTATTATTTCAATGAAAACAGTAGTTACTTATTCCTTCTCAGTGTTTGTTTTTTGAATGGACGACAAAAACATTATTCTATGCTGCAGTTACGCACTGTACACTTAAAGGCACATTACACAATAATTCATCCCTTGTTTACTCCAGAGAGTTCTTGATTTTAAGGGAGACGCTGTTATTGGCTTCACATGCTCATATTGTAGCTTTGTTGCTTGTAATCTAACTGTACCGTGACACAACACACACACACTCTCTCCCCTGTTGTAGGGAACAAGACACAAGCCTTGGCGTATGTGTTGGGAGCAGACAGAAGCTTTCAGTTTCCATTATCTGTGTCCTCATTAATATGATCCCTGCTGTATTAACCACCCGCTAATGAGAGTCCAATTAGTGGTTGAATTGCTTATTAAAAGCCAGACATGAGGAGTAGAAGAGAATCAGTGGGGGAGAGGAAGGTAAGATCGGTCAAACAGCAAATAAAGAGACAAAAAAAAAAGAAAGAAACAAGATGGAGTATGCGTAAGGAGAAGTTTGAGATAGTAAACAATTAAAGAAAAGACAGGGAGAGGTAAAGAATGGATGGAGTACATGTAAAGGATTGACACAGCAAACAGAGGGACGAGAGAAGAAGGGGCAGAGAGAAAGGAAAGAAAGACAGAGATGGCGGAGAGCTGTCAGTGGGCCATCAGAGGGAGTGTGTCGCCTGCTGACATTGTTTCCATGCTGCTCACTTCAAAGGGCTCGGATTATGAAGAGAGCGAGGGGCTTCAGACAATGGGAGGGGAAGAAAATAACATCAAAGTTAGCTGCGCATTTGAATTGGGATAATCCCAAAACAGTTGTTCTGAATGCATGCTGCACCAAATCAGATCCTTCTTTTTTCCTCCTCACCAGCCGTGTTCTGCCATTTCCAGCCTGAATTTAGCTCCTTCTGTGGCTCTACTGTACTTGTGACTTCTTAAATGTGGTTGTTCACTGCAGAGACCTTTGTATCTCGTAAACCCCTTTTTTTAGAACAACGGTAGTACAGTTAAGTATGCTCATTATCTGTTTTTTTTTTTGTGTAAGTGATGTTTAGGTGGAGTAGGATATTTGTGTGGCGTGTGTGGGAGCATGTTGTGAGTGTGAGTGTGTGTGCGTGTGTGTGTGCGTGTGTGTGCGTGCGTGTGTGTCGTCACAGACGTGGACACTGGCTTTGTATTGGTGCTGCTTTGCTCTGCTTGTATATCAAATAGACTAAATATCAATGTGTGTGTTGCAGGCTGGTTAACACAAAAGCAGGGGACTGAATAGATTAAGGCACGGAGCTGCTTGTCGTTTTGACCTTCTCATGTGAAATTTAAAGATCAATTTGGGTTTTTCTTCATATTAACACTGAAACAAATAACTGTATGTAATATGAACGCACTGGTAATGTTTCTAAAACCAGGTTTGTAGCTTTTAGCCTTTTTAACTCTTTGGTAAATACCTTACTTCCTGCTTTTGTTTCTTATGAATGATCTCTCTTATGGAGCTGTGGTCAGAGTAGTTAGTGGGCCACTATTTCTGATCCAGTTATATTTAGCTTACCAATTATCTCATAACAGTAAACAAGGCATGAGTGAGCAGCTTTAATGCATTGGAACCGGGCCGGTGTCAAAGGACCGTGGAAGGTGAAAGCAAGATGAAAGCAACGTATTTGCTTTCATCTGTCCTGTCTATTCATATCAGATAAGGGAAATGGGAACCAATATAGAGGAAGCCAGTGTAGAGCGTTGGGACGCAGCCAGCCGTTGGGTTAGTGTTCACTTCCTGATGTCATCTGTTTCTGTACATGTGGTACCTCGGTGAAGTGTCTCCATTTGTGGATGGATTTTTTTTTTCATTGATGAGACATAAGGGTTTGAGATTAATAGTGAAGTTATTGGAATTACTTGAGTGCATGGTGTGTGTGTGTTTGTGTAGCAATATGCACAGGCAGTGTGCATATTTGTCAGTGTGTGCATGTTGAGTGTGCGTGGCTCTATGAATGAGTGTGCGTGTGCACTTCCCTGAAATGTGCAGCTGCCAAATCTGACAGACCTCAAGCCCACATTAGCCTGCCAAGAAAAAGGTACAAAGACACACACACACACTGACACACACACGTGTCTCTTCTCTCTCTCACACACACAAACACACACCCTCTCTCTCCAAGTCTGTATCTTCCAACTCTTTCTGTCTCAAACTCTATGTCTGTCTCCACACACACACACATTCACAAGCACACATGCTCACCTCACCCTGCCAAAAGGGAGAGGTGGCTGGTGAATAAACAATGGCACTCCGCCCATAGTGTCACCCGCCTGGGCTTTGATCAGCACCGCTGTTCCTGCTCCCCACAGCAGTGCTTCCTGTCTCTCTGCCTGCTGAATGTTGCCGTGCGTGTGCTCACAAGCACACACGAACACACACACACACACACACACCTTTAACATATTGTTCATGTCTCATTCTTATACATGAGCCTACATTCTCTCTTATTTTCTCCTCACTAAGTATTTATCCGTATATTTCTGTCCCTCAAACTCGCCCACAAACATGGCTTTGAGTTAGTGCCCTTGTCTACAAACACCCACACATACCCTGTGTTTTCACACACACAGACACACACAGACACACGGACAGACAGGCATTACACACCTTGGATCCGTGGCCCATCCTGCAGTAACTTCTGGTGCTAGTTAAAGACAAGGTCCTGTTGCAGTGGCCTCTGGGTAAAGTGACAGCAGACACATTACATAATGCAACAGTGACCATTGTCTCGCTCAGTTTGAGGATCAGAGTGAATAGATGAGCTGCACTGGTCTTTGTGCACAGGACAATGTGGTGTGTATATTTTTTGTCACATCTAGATGTCGTCCATGTGATCTCCATGCTTTGCTTTTATGCATTCGAACCAGTAACAAGGGACAAGTTCCCAGAGCACGCACACAGCCACACAAACATGCACACATTCAACAAGCCGAGTTGTAGCAGCTGCAGTTTGTCTGTAGTTATGTAGTTATATATGCATTAGTTTCTGAGGGGGTTGAAAGGATGACTTTGCCTGTGGGAAGGAATGGCAGCAGTGGATCAAGAACAGGTGTGCT